CCCTGCCGGCACTGCTTCTGGCCACCCTTAAGCCCGGTTCAGGGTCCACTTAATGTGGACATGCTAGTTCAAATTAGCAAAACGCTAATTCGAACTAGTTTTTTAGTCTGGATGCGTTAGTTCAAATTAGCTTAGTTCGAATTAACTAATTCGAACTAAGTTAGTTCGAATTAACGTTGTAGTGTAGACATACCCTATGGGATTCTCAGAATTTTGGACTTTGCTAGTTCGAATTAGCAAAACGCTAATTCGAACTAGTTTTTTAGTCTGGATGCGTTAGTTCGAATTAGCTTAGTTCGAATTAACTAATTCGAACTAAGTTAGTTCGAATTAACGTTGTAGTGTAGACATACCCTATGGGATTCTCAGAATTTTGGACTTTCCAGGTTTCTCTTCACCTATCACACTGAGTCATGTTCTTGTTTGGCGCTACACTTACACATATGTCTGTAAATCCACAGCCATATGAGGAACTGTGGGTGGGACGTAATGGTTCCTACACTCCCCGCCCAATTTTGGTTCCCTTCCACGCTTGTAGAAATACAACTCCACAGCTTCTCCATACTTCTGGTTGTAGAGGGTCATTCCAGGGTGCTGTGTAGTCATTTTGTAACATACCATAATCCTTGTGTTTCCACAGCTTCTTCCACATATTATTACTGCTTGTGGTGGGAAGTTCAAGCACCTGTCTTTTTTTTTTAAGGGGTTGCATGGCTTGGTCCTGCCTACAACTTGTTCCCCATCTCACCCCTTCTTTTCATCTTTTTGTTCCCAGTATTTCCTTCCGCTTTCCCCTCCCTGCTATCTTGGTGCTTCCAATGCCTGGTACTGCCTTCCTTATCTTGATTGCCAAGCATGCTCACCCTTGAAATTTCTCCTACAAACATTCCAATTCCACCTTGCTTGCTGCCCATGACTGACTACTCCTGTTGTGCTGTCTTCTTCCTTCTTGCCCGAGCTCAGCTTCTGCTTTAAAAAAAACATCATAAAGATTGTGGTTTGCTTTCTATGTACTGTAAGGTGTGTAGACATCTACTTGTTTATTCTTTATCTCACCTTTCCCTGCTCCTTGTGCTTTGCTTTTCTAGAATCTATAAGGACTTCAGGACAGGGATCAGAGCTTCTTTTTAAATCTATGTGAAGCACTGCTGTGAGTGCACTATATATATCTCTGTTATTATTATGAGTAGTATTAAAGGGTCTTATACAATTTAGTTCTGCTGACAGCCGCCATCTCCCACCTCTGTTGATGGGGAAACAGGAGCAGCCTCGTGAATCATTTTCCCACCACAGGCGGGATCTTTGTTAAAACACTGCCCTCTGAAGGTTAGCACCCATTAATAACTGTGGTACTCTACATAGCACCATATTTTATTCTTCATTTCCAAGAACAGCTAAAACAGAATCAGTGTTTTCCTTCCCAGACAAATGCGTGAACTACTTCACTATCCTCTCAAAGATATAGACTAAACAAACAGTTTCATTTTGCACTTAAGCACAACATAAGGAACAAATGTTCTCATCACATCATTTCACCATCCTCTGCAGCAAAGAATGAGCCCCACACAAAACGCGTCCTCTGAGGAAACAGAATACTTTGCTGCAGCCTAACCTTATTGCCAGCATGACTTGTTGATTAATCAGCACAACGGGAAAAGAGGTGAACCAGAAGTTGGGTCAGGGCCATCCAGGTAATAATCTAAATCAAGTGGTAGAAACTGCTGACGAGCCATAATCTCCTCTACATGAGAGGGTTAGTTGGTTGTTTTTTCCCATGAGTTTCACATGAACACTTCATGGGCAAAGAATGAGACCCCAAAGTGTGGCAGTGGATGGCAGATGAATGCTAAGGAGAATAGGAAAACATTATGTTCTATTCCCCATCTCTTGCCTTTTGGTTAATGGGCTAAATTTTAGAAAACATCCCTTTGCTCCCCAAGTTGGAAAAGTTCCCCTTGTCCATTTAAGACTCGGAAAGCAAACAGTCCCTTTGCTATGTCTATCTGCAGGTGTATCCATAGAATTTTGAATGCTGAGAAGAAGCTATGAGAAAATGTAATTCTATTTTATTTCCTTTATTAATCATAAAACATTTATATTGATTATAGGGAGACTGGTAAAACCAAGAAGGGACATTTGGATGTGGAGGGAGCAGGGAAATGTGAGGGCAGTTGAACCTGGCAGCAACTGCTGTAGATGGGGGATTATTCACGGCACATAATATATTCAATATATTGAACTCCTTTTTCTGTTCATGAATTATCCAGAGAATAGCCTTTGATTTTAACAATTGTTTGTTACTTGAAACTATTCAGTGTCCAATTTTATACAGATTATCCATGAATTATCCACTTGGACCCTTGACTTTTTATTATTTGTGATGTGCAATTGGTCATATAAGTCACTCTGTACCCTACATGCCACCATATTTTATTCTCCATTGCCAAGAAAAAGCTGAAACAAAATCAGTGTTTTCCTTCCCAGGCAAATTTATAGGTAAATTGACTCCCTAGTTGGATGATTCAAATATTCATGTGAGTATCTGTGAGATTTTCACTTATTGCAAACATTTCTGCCCAGGGCTTGAACCTATCCCATTGAGATCAACCAATTGAATTCCCAGTCAAGAACCTTACCTCACAATCTGTTGACTTTCCTCTTATAACAAAGAAGGTCCTCTGGTTGGTCATGGGGACAGGAATGAAAGAGGTATGGCAAGGGCTGGAAGGGGAGGTGATAGAGGTTTGGCTTAGGACAACGAGAGTAGGGCATACCCCACATATCAGCAGGGGAAAGGACAAAGTTGGGAATAAGCATGGAAAGGGATGGTTCCTAGCACAGAACCAGGATCTAGAAAGGGTGAACTGAAGGGAAAGGCCCGGCATTGAAAGGGAAGGATCAAGTGTGGGTGCAGAGAATTGGTGTGGCATGGCTAGACATGGCATCATGAGATTCAACATCATTATCTTTTATAGCAATCAATATTTTATCATGTGATTTACCATTGATGAGCTCTGTTAACCTATGCACCCTTCGTGAGCATAAAGTCTCATGAATATATAGGGTAAAACTCATCTGATGAAGTGGGTTTCACCCTTGAAAGCTCATGATCCTATACATTTTTATTAGTTTCTAAGGGCCACAGGTCTACTTGTTGTTTTCATGAGCATAAACAGTCAATTTCTTAAAATTCTGCTGGTGTGTGTGGGCTGAATTTGTCTCCATTACTAGATCTG